AAAAATGAATTTGACATCAAAGAAAAAAAAGATCATTTGGCTCTTTCACCACTTACCTTTACAGGAGCCACTTCCCAGCTAGCTGTCTGCACAGCTCAGACAAAGCCCACCAGTTATCACCAGGTGAAGTGCATTAACCGAGCCGACTGTCATGCTGTGCACCTGTTCTATGCAGCCCTCCCTCATGAGAACTAATGGGGAAACCACTTTTTGCTGGTAAAGGTCAAACATTATTGTAATGAACACGTGCACCCCGCAAGCCAAAGCATGGTGCGAGCTGGACAAGCAGTGGAAAAGCTCGCCAGAAAGCGCTCTCAATGACAAGCTATGTGGTTGCAGCTAGATGAACTCCAGAAGTTACCCAATGCACACACTGATATCGCCAAGCCACAGCTCTCGACAACCTGCACCTTATACTTTCCGAATGTAGGCAAGCAGGATGCATTTCTCTAGGGAAAAAGTGGGCATTCCATTCCGAATTGGGAGTTTCCATGTTTAGATGGGATGCATGAAACTCTCAGTCCAGCTTGGATATTCTCAAGCACAGTCCTGGGTTTCCATAAACGCAAGAACCTCGCTAACAAAAATAAAATACAGGCAGCAAACACAGTTTTCCAACAGGAAAACCTCTGCCATTACCATTTTTAAAACCTGATATCCTATGTTGGACTAATTTGCCATAACGTGGATATGATCACAGTGCAAGTAGTGAGTCATCAGTTCACGCTAAATACAAATGTACTGCAATGTTAATGAAAAAACTTCTACCACGAGTTATAACGTGACAGTAGTATTCTACTGTGCTACCCTCCTCCTCTCTCTGACTCGCCCTCTCTAACTTTCTTATCTCCATCTCTGAATTTCTTTCTCACATTTTCTGACTGCAACACCCTCTCTCTCTCTCTTTAGGACATTCCTTCAATAGCTCTGTTCCGCTCTCGAACCCTCCACAGCAACACGTTGCCGATAAATATACCTCTCATGGCGGTGAATCGGGGCTAAGCCGCATGGAAACCTTGCATCCAATCGCACACCTTAAAATGTTACACTGATATCGCAGGTGGACATTATCTGCCACTTATCTAATGTGGAGAAGTGCTTCTGCTTAAGGCTGCTGTTACATTACCACGCCAGTTTCACGACACTTTCTTTTACATGAGAAATCCCAGGGTTTGATTTCAACTGTGCGCCAGGAAGAAAACATTATGATCTTCCAGAGATTTCAATCTACCTCCTCCTCAAGCAATGCTCAAATACTGGATTTTAGATAAATGAGGTGACTGTTTCTTTGTTGAAGTCAACATGAATCAAATATCAATGCGAACACTGCTCACGACAAAGAATCACAAAAGGTCGGAAAAATGTTTGGGGAATGCAAACCACCAAACATAAATTATAAAACACAAAATACATTTAGGAATCAGCATCAATCCACTTCTTTGTAGTGCTCTAATTCAGCATAATAATTGATGAAGAACTAAAAGAACTGAGATAAAGCTGAAAAAGTTGGGGAGGAAGTAGGGAACCATGACCGAAAGTAGTCAGAGGCAAGTCTTAAGCCAGGTTTTGAAGAGGGGGGAGGTCGAGTCGGTGGGATGGAGGTCCAATGAGTGGAGGCAGAATGGTTCAAAGACCATCCACTGATGATATTGTTGATAAAGTGGCGGACATGACGCAAGGCAAGGTTCACTGAGTGAATGGAGGAGTCTGATTAGTAGCTTTATAGGAGGTCACAGAGATAGGCAGGGACGAGTGTTGAGAGATTTGAAAATGAGGAAGATCTTGAATTTGACAGATGGTGGGGCAGTCTACGTCAAACTCATCAATGACTCATCAATCTCTCTGCGACCAGGGCTCCCTCTGCGTTCTTGTCCATCTTGGACCCCTCCACTGCTTTCGACATCATTGACCATTCCATCCTACTCAATCACATGGGGTAGAGTCTTGGAGCACTGAAACTTTATAACTGTCGGTGGCTGAGCCTTCAGATCCAATACCCCTAACCTCTGGAATTCCCTCCGTCTACCACCTCTCTTGTGCCCTTCACCCCTCTGCCTCGAAGTCTCTCTTTCTGTCTTAAGTCCTGCGTCAAAACCTACCCCTTCAAAACCTCCCACTTTCCTTCTTCTCTTTCCCTTGCTAAGGGTCTTACTCCTTTTTTTGTAAAGCATTCCGAGATATTACCCTATGTGAAGATTGCTACCATGTAACAATCACCTTTCCAGTTGATATAGCGTATTGTCAAGATGTCTCAAAGCTTTTTATAGGATACAATGGATTGACTGTATTTTATGGGCGAAATTTGACAGTCAGTTTGCGCACAGCAATGTCCTACAAATAGCCATGTAATGACCAATTTTATTTGGGGGATTTGATGGCCAGGACACCAGGAGAAACTCCCTTCTCTTTTCAGATAGTGCCATGGGATCTTTAACGTCCACCTGAACAGATAAACAGGTCCTTGGGTTAAAATTTCATCTGCAGGATGTCACCTCCAACAATGCAACACCTTCCCAGCACTGCATTGGAGTGATTCCAAGTGCTGATGTGAGGCTTGAACGCACAACCTTCTGACCCAGAGGTAAGAGTTCTACCACTGAGGCAGGCCGACACATAATGTAAATTGTTGTTGTAGTAGTGGTTTCACTAACGATGAAATAATATTTATTGGGTATTTGCTGTATTAAATGTACTAACAGCAGACACAGAACCACAAAAATTTACAGTAGAGAAGGCCATTCAGCTACCTACAATGCATCTGTACTTAACTGACTCTAAATAATGTTTTCAGGGCTCTAAACATATAACTTAGAATTCAAGTGGTTTAAAAAAAAGTGCTGAAGTATATTGGTCCCAAAATATTCCAGCTTCATCTCCATACTTCCCAGTGTGATGAGTATGATAACTAAGCTATGCAATCGGGAATGTACCAAGCAGAAACCAGGCATGTCCAAACAGATGGGAAGAAAACAGGTAAAATTACCTAACCAAAACAGGAGCAAATTACTTTGATTGCCCTCTCTGGAAGGCAAAAACGAAAATCCCAAAATCGAGAAAAAAGAGTGAAGGAAATGATTTTAAATCGCGATTCAAAACATCAACTGAAACGTTACCATGGGATGGAAATGATCTCAGCAATTTGAACACAAAAATCTATTTAGCATGGCATGTTTAAAGCTATATAGCAAACAAACACAATTCAAATTCATTTGCGTTTCTCTAGGCTTCAGTACACATAAATTGCTGCAAAACCAGAGTTTGAATTTATATAGTAGTTTATTCATGCCATAGGCATTCGCAGCAAAAGGTGCTGAGTTGACAGCAATGAATACAAATGACAGAATGCAAATAGATTTGGGATTTTCCAGACTTGTCAAAAATATGCACATATCAAGGATTTATTTTAAGTGAAACTGACAGTACAAAAGCTGAGAAGCATAGTTATCACAAGACTATACAGGAAAGAGTACTTGTACAAGCGTGTCAGCCTAGCTCTGATAGTAGCACTCTTGCTTCTAACTCAGAAGATTGTGGGGCTTTGAATTCATAGTCTGGACAAACATTCCATTGTAGTGTTGCATTGTTGGAGGTGTCATCCTTCAGAGGAGACTTTAAATCGCGGTTCTGTCTACCTCTTCAGTTGGATGTTAAAGATCCTGTGTCACTATTCAAAAAGAGAAGGACATTTCTCCTGGTGTCCTGGCCAACAATCCCTCAGATTAAAAAAAAACATTCACTTCATTGCTGTTTGTGGGACATTGCTATGCACAAATTAGCTACCAAGCTCAACAACAAAGTATATCCTGTGAAGCAGTTTGCGACATCCTTCTGACATGAAAGGTGCTATATGAAATGTAAGGATTATTGTTTACCTAAAGATAAGCAGAATCCAGTTATGAGCAGTAAATATGGAGAAAAAATGCCAGACTTGCAACTAGAAGATCTATACCATTATTATTATAATAATCTGTCAGTGTTTTGAACACCTCTATTGCACTGGAATCTCACTTTTATTTCCAGGAGTGAAGGAACTGGTGGTGTCCTCGAGGGAATCGGACAAGCTTTCTTTGCCCCAGAGCCCTCAGCAGTTTAAACAGCTACTAACTACAGGAAGGCTGGACAGGTGAGACCTCATCAGATGAATTCCAGGGAAATTAGTCTACGAGTGCAACTTGTGGTGTTTGCAGTCACATTTCACTCGCAACATTTCCTTAACTTCTAGTTATGATTTGTGACATGTAAATCTGCAGTGATTTTTTTTTCAGCGTTTCAAGTGAGATGTTGATTTGTGTCCACAGTTCCATACATGACATATTCATTTTACAATATATTCTATGAAGCGCTTTGAGACGTCTCAACAACGTGATAAGACGTGATATCAAATGCAACGATTATTATTATCCCAGTACCAAGTAAGTTAAGAACAAATTAGAATTTCAAGTTTGCTCATACTAGCTTTGTGCAAAACAAACCCAGCTATGAAAATTAAAAACAAAAACAGATTGTATAAAGTGCAGGAACAAGAACTGTTTTGTATGAGTTCTTGATCATACATTACGAAAAAAATATTGATTTATATGGTTGTGGTATAAAATGCAACCTTATTCAGAAAGGGATGGATGTGCTTTGTGTTTGTGCTTATGATAAACAATGCTTATGATATTGTGGAACCCTGTAGCTCAGTGGTTAGAGCACTCGCCTTGCAAGCGAGAGAACTAGGTTTGATTCCCAGCAGGGCAAAACGCTGGGCAAGTTTTCTTACTCCTGTTTACCTAGCTGAGAGTAGGAACCCGGTTGTTAGTCAATTGGTGGATCGCTTTTCTGGGGGTAATACGTCCTTCAAAAAAAAAAAATTGGTCACTTAAATCCACGACTGTTTGTGGGACACTGCCGTGTGCAATTCACTGCCGTGTTTTGTCCACAAAATATACATTCTGTGAAGCGCTTTGAGACATAACGAAGACGTGATATGGCGCAATATCAAATATCAAATGAAATACCTTTTGGGCTTGAACACAACCTTCTGTCCACCTTCCAGAACAAGCAGAGCCTTCAACTGTGTTCCTTTGTAACCCACGTCAGCCTTAATAATCTTCTTAGTAGCCATGGCATGTAGAATGGCTCCAAGCTCTGGTGTTTCCTCTGGGTATACCTCTCGAGGAATAACCCACTGCGCTGCAATCTCCCAAGGCGACTGTAGTGTGTGCTCTAGATTTGGGTTTAATTCAATCTTTAGCTTGTCCATCATATGCTGAAAAGAATGATGGTCCTCTCGGTTAGCAGAGGAGTCAGAATTGTCAATCAAGAACACTTTTGTGAAGATGAAAATAACAAGAAGGATGGCAAGTAAAACAACACGCTGTTTCAGCTTCATTGTAGCCGGAAGTCCTAAATGTTGCAGGAATTCACAAAAGATCACAAGATGAGGATGTTGCTAGCAATCTCTCACGTCGAGGAGTTCAGTTTAACCTGGATAACATTTTCAGGTCAATAACTGGTGCCCTGAAAAAGAAAAAAAAAGTTAACGAGAGCAATTCATTTGGAATTTGGTCCAGCCCAAACTTGGTGACCATAATTTTGACATGCTCGTTAAGTCAGTTTTCCCCAAGACAATGATAATAAAGTTTTGGGATGCAAATAATCAGCTGTACTGTGAACTACCCTACTGCATTATATCAGGATGCACTATTCCCCAAAACATAAAAATGTATCTATTGCATTAACTAGAGAGCACTTCTGATGACAGGCACAGAATTGCGTGATTGTCTCAGTATTAAATGAGTTGGATCAGAATATGTTTTAAAAAAAGAGGTTAAACCACATTGAATACATTTTAATTTAGTAGGCTGGAGATGGGGGCAAGGCACAGATAACAATCACAGTTCATATTTGAATTAGATATCTTAGATGAGCCATCTAATTTTAGATTAGATGTGCATTATATGGTTAATATGACAAACAATAATAGTGCTGTCATGTAGGGTTATAATAATTTGCTACAATTATAGTTAAATGACTGTAAGCCTTGAGTTTCATTCCAATACTTCATCAGTCAAGTTAGTAACAGCTTCATATTGACAACATACTTTCAGGAAACGGTCAATTGGAATGTCAATGGATATTTATTCATCTAATTTCAGTGTATATTACCTTATATTTGTCCTCATTAAAATGTATTTATCATTCCTCTAGAATAGTCAAAATAGTAAAAATATTTTTTTTTCTGTGGGCCCTATTATTAAATCTTCCTGCAAATCATGTTCCAAACAAAAAGGAGATTATATTCTCAAGCTGTTAACAAATTTTTGCAGTTGTTACAATTCTTATTTTTAGGTTGAAAATAATAATCGTGAAATCACAGGGATTAGATATCAAAATATTGATACTTCGAAGTGATTAACAAACCTGACTCTCAATTAAATGGCCCTTTCTATAAGTGGAGGAGTAGGTAGAAGGGATGATACAAGATTCTCAACTTGTAAAGATTCCAACTTTCCTTCAGGACTGACACTTTTCAAATCAACGAAGCAGTCAACAAATTCCAGAAGCGATGTAGGAAATAGGAAACAAATTAAAACTTTCTCTAAAGAATCCAGTAAAGCGCATAAATCTGATCTGTATAAATCACATATAATCGCTTAAGTCGTATATCTGCCGAAGTCCTGTTGAATTTTCTATAATTCCTATAAATTTCACATAACTCATACTTTGCAATGTTATATAATTGTATGGTCCTAACTGATACGACTTAAGTGAGATTTACTGTATTAGCTCAGTAATATTAGTATTCTATATATGTTATCACATATTCATACAAACATCAAAATAAATACAAGGAAGATAGCAAATTCACATTTCTTTTTGAAATGCCTGTTCTTTCTTAGCTTTGTAATGAAAATACATACAAAGCCTCCTTAAGTGATGTGACTGATTATTATGTAACTTCAGGGTGGTATGGATTGTTGAAAGATCAATAACTACTATGAAGTTTTGACTAATATTGATACTGTATATGAATTGTGACCTCCAGATTTTCTTTCACTGCTTATAAAAAAATGGTTTTACACCCACTGTTTTCTTTCTCAAAATACCAGAATGTTGGTAAGTACTGGTTATTATATTTGATAAATAGAAAAAAAGCAATATACTGACATTTTTGAAAATTATGTCCTTTTCTAATATTGCCAAAGGACAAACTCCATCCTGGAATACTTCAAACACAATTCTATTCAAATTTGAAATATTACAGTCGATAAGTATATTTCTTCAGCATTTACAAAATGCATAAAGTGATCTTCAAACGCTGCATCCTCAAATCAATTCAAATGGTTTGCTGACCATTTGCATGTGGCCCTTTTTTCAAACTTCCCAATTACTGGGAAAATGATCATTATTTCACCATAATCCTTGCATTTGGAGTCCTGCAGATTAATGGTTAGAGCATTTGCCTCGCAAGCAAGAGGACCTGGGTTTGATTCCCGGCAGGGCAAAACGTTGGGCAAGTTTCCTTACTCCACACACCACTGTTTACCTAGCAGCAAGTAGGAATCCTGTTGTTACTCAACTGGCGGATCACTTTTCCAGGAGTAATAATACCTTCAAAACGAATAAAAATAATTTGGTCACTCAATCCACAACTATTTGTGGGGGACACAGCTGTGTGCAATTGGCTGCTACGTTTCGCCCACAAAATGTACAGTCAATTCACATTACAGTTTATTCTATGAAGCTCTTTGAAACGTCTCGAAGACGTGATAAGGTGCTATATTAAATGCAGGAATTATTATTATTTGATACAACAACAAATTGTATTTATATAGTGCCTTTCACATCGGGACAACGTCCCAAGGTGCTGGACAGTCAGGGGTTTGCACTCGAGCTGTGAGCTGGGATCAAGAGGGGTGGAGGGCAAGGGTAACGGTGGTGGGTAGATGATCAAAGGCATAGTCGAAGAGAAAGATCTTGAGATGGGCCTTGAAAGAGGCAAGGGCCCTTTCAAAATTAGGAGGACATCTCAAAGTGCTTCACCAGAATTGCTGTATTCATGAAATATGACGATTTTGGAGGCAAGTTTATTCTTAAAGAGCACTTAAATTTAAAAAAATAAAATTTTCCTCATGCCCTCTTTACTGCTTACAAATCAAAAGTCAAAATAGCAGCATCAACAAATAGATAAGACTGGGTTGAAGTGGATCTGGAGTTTGTATGGGTGAGGATATGGGGTGGAGTCTTGAATTAATTGGATTTAATGAGCAGTGGAGAGAGACCAGGAAATTGGAAACATTGAGGCAGGAGGTGATGAAATGCAGCAGGCCTGCTCACTTCCTTCATTCAAATTATCCCTCAACCCCCTCTGCCCTAAGGAATATAATCACAGTCTAGGCAGCATTTGGGTATTACCCTGGGTAAGACCACAAAATTGGTTCAGACGAAGAAAGCTCTTTGGTCCATTTAATCTCATTATTCCAGAATACCACCCACCTATTTGTTTCCCATCAAAGCATCAAGATATTTTCATACACATGTCCAGCAACCTGTTCCACCCATTAATTATCCACTGGGTAAAGGAATAAAACAGAAGAAATGGTCTGAGTTTGGGATTAAAGTATCCTGACGAATTTATGTTTCTACTTTAGCATTCCCCAACACTCAAATCAGCAATATTTAAGAAACAATTAGATAGGAAAAACAATAAAACAAACATACTAGCACAGATGCGAGGGAGCTAGACCACAAATTGCTCACAGAACATTTACCAAGTGCACATTTCAATGAAAAGGCATCTCACAGGATCAGAATATATCCCTTTTGGCACTGGCAGAATATTTTTTTTTAGAAGTGACCTGAATCCCTTAATGATCATGCATAAATCACACCACAATCATCATAATCAAATATTACATCAGAATATCAATTTGTTACTCCCTCCAACTCTAACCCTTTATATTTGAATCAGTGAAAGAGTTAATCCCTTCACATAATTCTACTTCTTCCTTTAACAAATCCAATCTGGTTTTGTCTGCCCTGGATTGGCATAACAATGCAATCTCTCATCATCTTCATCAGACCAGAACCAAGATGACAAGGCAATTTCACTGTGGCTTTGGAAAACTTCCTAATCTCCACAGGGAACTCTGAAACCAATCAAGGTGTTATACTGTGAAATTTAACCTTGATCTGCCAAACAATCAAATGATAAGACAATGTCAATTTCAAAACATTTCCTCAGCTTCTCTGCGCAGTATGCTCAAAAGAGATTGCCTTGAGCTTCCCGAAATGGATCATTTTACTAATACTTTCAATTTACTAGAAAAATCAACCACATACAGAACAGATATCAACAATCAGTGGAAATCTAATTCACTGTGGTCTACAGCATTTGAAGTAATCTTGTTGTATTACCCTTCTAAGTTGGCTAGATGTTAAAACTATCAACTGTACTTCAACCATGTTATGAAATTTTTCCATGAAATGAGAACTTGGAAAAAGTGATTTTAAGCTCCCAAATGTACTGAGCCATTGCTACAGACTTAAGAGTATTCATACACTGCTGCTAACTGTGGTAGTCCAGGTGTCCCAGAATAAACATGAGTATACTGATTCTCAGTTAGTGCAGTTCCTATTGCATCAATATTCCTATTCCTATTGGCAGATACAGGGGAACCCCATTGACTTGCCCAGGGAGGACTGGCCACATGGAAAATTAGGAAATTTCCCGAGTGCCCTACTGAATGATTCCCAAGCGCCTTCGTGAATGACGCCTGATACTTACCAACCCAGAGCCGGACATCCAGGTGAGTTGACAGCTAGGATAGCCAACCACCACCCAATCGCACCCTCCTGTTTAAGCCCCAAAGTTTGAAAGCATGTGGAGGTTTTATGCCAAATTGGTGCCCTCCATCATCGGTGTCCCAATTTTATCTGAAAATCCAAGCCTGCTTGCAAGTCCACCCTAGCCACCTTTCTGTACTAAAAAGTGGCCAAGCTCCGGTCATTGGGTCACTGTTGATGGTGTCAAGACTGCATTCCAGTACTAAAGAAACAACAATAATATTCCGTTGCTAATCAAATGAAGAGAAGCTGAATAAAATCCTGTTTAACCATTGTCAAGAAGTAAACACAGAAGAGCACAATAATGGGGAATGGAGGATTAATACAGCATAAAGTGGGCAGAATTTTGGAAGACTGTAATCAGATCTGTAGATTTGTGGAGTTCAGAGTACTGCTTTGACCAGTTCACTGGCAATGTACAACACTGACATGTCCATAGAATGATAATCCAGGATAAACCTCAGGTTCCATCTCTTTATGCTATCAAAAGGATAACAGATGGCATGCTAAATATGCAACGAAGGGCAGCACTGACAAGGTTCTGTATCAATTATGCCCACAACAGTAGCTCAATTCCAATTAGCTAAGCCTTCTAGCAAATTTGGACACTTGACAACTGTATTCCTCAAAATGAAATCATCAACCTCAATATAGTGTGAACTTAAACCATC